ATTCAGGCCAGAGCAGCAAGTGCTTTTAATCACTAAGCCATTTCTCCCATCATCCCTGACCCTATCTTATAACTGCAAAAAATAATGTGAATTTTTAGATTGTTTAAATTATAAGGTAAAACTCCTAGGCTGGAGAGACGAGGCTCGGTGTTACACAACCATGAATGAGTTCAGGTCCCCCCACACCAACATAAAAATCCTGGTTATGTGGGATCACTGGCACTTGCTAGTCAACAACCCAGTGAGCGAGCCTGTCTCCATGGAACAAGGCAGGCAGAGATGGAGTGTCTTCCTTTGGCCTCTGTGCACTGGCAAACTGATCCCACTTCCACAATGCACATAAGCAAACTCGGCAGAGAAGCCTGGCTGACCCGGGAGCCAGACTACCGATTCTATTTATTATGCACATCATAATCTTGGGTAAGAAAGCTTTGCTGTGCACCCATCTCCTCCTTTGAAAAACCGGACAACAACTACCTTCAGCAAAAGGTTATTGAGACATCAATAAATGAACATGTCAAGGGGATAGGGACAATGGCTGGCACATTTTAAGACCTGCACAAATATTACTTTTTTTTTTTTTATTGGCACTAAGTTTTTACATTGTTTCCTAAGTGTACATAAAGTTAGCCCAAATAATATATTACCTATGGTTCAGGATATAATATTTTCCCATGATAACTTGTATTTACTCAATAGGTACATACAAGTCAACTCTGTATAGATGCTAAAGCAATTCTTAAATTAGTGCTGTATAAATGGGACAACCTTAAAAAAACAAAAAACAAAAACATTGAATTTCAAGTAAAGAAACAAACTACATGAAACACTAATGTAGCAACATAAGGCCATTAAAATTAAACACCAAATGGTACTATGTAAACACTTGACCTACAAAGAGTAGTGGGGTTCAATTATAGAGGTAATGGGGAAGGACCTAAAGGAAAGAGAACAGATACATTTGTTGCAATGTTTATTCTACAAATTCTTTTCCTGGCCAGGCTCTGTTCTAGGCCCTACAACTAATTCACAGCAGAAACTGGCTTGTTTGTGGGCTAAAGGGCCCCATACCAGAGACGTTTTCCATTGATTTTTTTGGCAATGGTGGGGATAGAACATAGGCAAATTTTTACACTGAGCTGTGTCCCCAGCTGAGGAGCCAAGGGGGTTTGTTTGTTGCTTTTTGAGACAGGGTTTCTCTGTATTGCCTTGGAGTCTGTCCTGGAACTCTCTCTGTAGACCAGGCTGGCCTCAAACTCACAGAGATCTGCCTGCCTCTGCCTCCCGAGTAATAGGATTAAAGGCATGTGTAACAAGCACCCGGCAGAGTCAAATTCTGAAGTGAGGAATGAGACAGGCCTAGCTTCCTGTTATGTCTCGGATGACTTAGAGACAGGAGCTGAGAGACTGTGCCATAGTCACTACAACTTCACAACTATGACGAAAGTATACAAATGGCTGACATGAATAATTTAGTAATTTTTCATGTATTGCATTGTATTATAAATCTATTCAATTGTGTAAACAGTCTCCATATTTTTTTATACAAATGATGACAGATTTACAAATTCATTATCACTATTACTGGGGTAGGTTTTTGTTCATATTTCCAGTTTTGCCCAAAGCCAAGTAAGGCCTTGCCTGTGTAGCTGTTTGGGGGATTCCTTACCACTATGTCTCCCCTGTTTGTTTCTTTCATCTGTCAATGACTGGACCCCAAATTCCAAAGCTTGCAAAGTGCTTGAATAGGCAACTATGTGGTAGTAAGAATTATTCACACAGAGAAGTATTCCCTCTAAAACACAACCTGCATCCTTCTCTCCTCTATGTACCTCCCTCCCCCAAAGATGACATCCTCAAGTAAAGAAACCCTTTGGTAAATACCAACTAACAATGCTTTCCCAACTTTTATTTCTTCCCAATGGAATTTTCTGATAAGTTAGTTCCAATATGCTAATTTACTCTCAAGCACAAGCTCTCAACCACTTCCCTCAGTCCATCCAATGGTCCCAGCCACTGGTCCAAGACTCTACTACAGCCCTCACATATCAGTTTCTTGAACTGTTATGGCTACATAAATCATTAAATTGTATCTTTACAAAATATCCCAATCTTATACTGGCCACAATACTGAATATGTATTTTAAGATATTTAATCCCAAATTAAAAAGTTGGGCATATAAAACTTTTCATCATGGAACTTACTCTGTAGACCAGGCTGGCCTTAAACTCAGAGATCCACCTGTGTCTGCCTCCCCATTGCTGGGATTAAGGGTATGCACCATCACCACTTTGCTAAGCACATAAAACTTTTACAGCTACACACAATACAGAAAAATCTAGCACTCTTAATATTTAAATGCTCAGTGAAAGCCTGCCACTCTTAGCCAAGTGTAGTAGTATATACTTCTGATCCCAGCACTCAGGAGGCAGAGGCAAGCCATGTCTCTTGACTTCAGGGCTATCTTGGTCTATATAGTGAGACCTTGTCTAAAATGAAAAAACAGAGACACTTCCGCAAAATCTAACAGCCATAGTTTGTTGTTGGGAAAAAAAAAAAATCTTGTCATACATTTGCCCTTAGTTAGGAACTGTAATACAAAGAACGACCCTTCGAGTAAGGGTCACTATGGCTCTCAGTACCTTTACCTGATGCACACCCTAGCTTGTTCATTTTCTGGCCATATTATGTAATGAGCACTTGGATAAGAACTACAAGGCTTTGTAAACTATTTAATACCCAATGGGATTAACTGCAATTCTATGAACTTTTAAAGCCACAGTAACTTGAATTACTTTACGTAATCAACACTTATTTTCGCAGAAGAAACAATTATTTAATGTAGACATTCTATACAGTAATGCATTCAAATCAGACTCATGTGTTGAAAATCTGAACAAGTACCCTTGAAAACGAATTGATATAAAACATCTATGAACATCTGGCACTGTCCTGGCAAAAACGCAGCACACTGTTTATGGTTTTCTAAAGTTAAACTCAAACTAAATGTCTAAAAATTATATACATGGTTGTTTGTACATGTAAGTGTATATACTGATATTACAAAAAAACGCTGGTATGTTACAGTATTTAGGGGGAGGTGAGTTTCTAACAGGCAAGACAACTTGCTGAAAGTTACAGTATTAACTATTAGATCTTATCTGTATATCCCAATTCAACAGAACCGCTACAGTGCGAGCACCAATTATAACCAGAAGTCAGTTGATCCTGGAGAACTTGCCCAGCTGGAATAGTTAAGCCCTTAAGCACGTGGACAATGCGCCGCTTTATTTGCATGGCCAGGACTAACCAACCTGGGGCTGATCGGTTTAATGGCGAAGCTGCAATCACACATACACCCATCACCTGCCTCACGCTGGAAAACGTTATCATTCGAGTGGCTACTTGGAGTTCTTTTTTCTTTCTTTCTTCCTCCCTTTTAAGAATACCCTAGCCATTCAAGCAAAGAGCGAGCGGGCACCCGGGCCACTCCAATCGCCTTGGCCTCGCGGCGGGGAAGATGGGGAGACCGAGCAGCCAGCCTGGAGGCAGCTTCGTCCCTGGAGCACGCGCAGACACCCCGAGACCGCCCCACCGCCGAGCGGGGAGCCGGGACGCCCTGGGGCCCCGGGCCCGCCGCTGCCCGCCCGCGCCGACGACACACGCCCCGCTCCGCTCTCGCCAGAGGCGGCACCGGGGCCGGCGCCTCCGCGGCGTCGGGCTCGCATTCCGAGAGAGGGAGGGAAGGGAGAAAAACCAATAACAGAACCTGGCTTCTCGTTCCCTCCGGAAACCGCGGGCCGGCAGGAAGTGACGAAGGGAGGTCGTCCGGTCCGCTGGGTCTCGGCCCGCGCTCCCCGCTCGACTCCCGGAACAGCCCGAGAGGAGCGGAGCGGAGCCGAGCGGAGCCGAGCGGCACGCGGCCTCCGCACCTCCGGAGCCGCTGAGCGCCCGCCCGCCCGCCTGCCCGCGCGCGCGGCCGCGTCACCGCCCCGCCCCGCCCGCCCGGCCCCGCCCCGCCCCGTCCCGTCCCGTCCCGTCCCGTCCCGGCTGAGGGTCAGACCCGAGGGGACGGCTGCTGCTGCGCGGGTGCCGGCGCCCGCCAAGTCGCCGGCGGGAACGTGGACGACCTGTCGGGAGAGGACCGTCCTGTATGTCACCAGGAGCGGCGGGGGAGGCCAGGTTTGGGCGTCGATCTGGGTGCCGCCTCTGCCCCTCCGATCCCGGGCAGCTGTGGCCTTGGGATTACAGAACCACCACTGTCACCTGTTACAGAGCTGCAGCGCTTCAGTGCAGGGCGGTTGCAGAAATATTATTCGAATGTGAACTGTCCAGTCCACGGTCTCTGATGTCCTTCCTCTAGGAAAGGGTGAAGAGGCCTGTGAGACTTGTTACCTTCTGCGTTAGGACCTCAAACCCCTTGGTGCTAGAGAAATCAGGAGAAAGAATCCTAACCCTCAGTGCTGGGATTGTGTTGTTAGAAATGGGGTTTAAGCTGCATTTCTGTGAGAAATAACAAAGTTCCAGATAACATTCTAGGCATGATGGCAAGTAAAGCGCACTTCTGGAACGGTGTAGACGGATTTAAAAAGTTAAGATAATGTGTCATGATTAACAGAAAAGGGTTTTTCACCTAAGTCAGCCTTAAACTAAACCCTAATGGGTGCATTTTAATAGCATCATCTCTGAATGTTCATAGTGACTTTTGACTTCACTCACTCATTCATCTTCCTACTGCAATAATAGTTCAAGCATTATATCACAGCACAACCGACGAGTCAGTATTCCCAAAAGAACCCTGATTATCGCTCCCAGCATATATCTTACTGAACTATTTAACTTGCCAGACATTTTACTTAGACAGAAGATGAAGGGTACATATGCACACACTTGCTTAGACTACACCAAGTGTGTGGGAGGGCTGGTCAAAGTATCTTGTCTATCCCGTGACTCTGAGCTCTCCATCCCTGGTTGTCTCACAAGGCATTTTTCTTGATCGTGTCAGGACTGGCAGGAGAGGCCCAGCTTCAGTACCAATCCTTCACAGCTGCAGGTCTAAGGTGTTACCGCATACTACTGATGTTTTATATTATGTGTCCTGTATCACAGGTTGACATTCTGCCACTCTCAGTCAGCAGTAATCTGAAATCCTTTTTCTAAATACAATTATAGAGTGGTGTAGTAGGAAGAAATGCTCTGGATAGGAATACACCATTCACTCTGTGGCACATGGACAAAGTTTTGTCAAAAGTCATAGCAAAAAATGAATCTGGTTCAGGGCATTAGGAATCATCTTAACTTGTCAGAAAATAATGGTACTCACTCCATACCCTAGTGGCGCATTGCCTTATTATTCCTGTTGCCTCCCTAACTCATTAACTCCCAATTCTGAGTGCTGCTATCTTGCTGCACTGCTGTCTGTGTCTGAAGCACCTCTAGTCAGACCCTTCAAACTTACTTTCTTCCGAACATGACCACGGTTATTGCCATCTTAGCATTTGACAAGGGTCAAAATGCCAATTAAAGGTAACTGTAATATTTGGTCTTCAAGAAGTCTCTATCAAAATAGACTGACTACAACAACCAAAAATATCAGAGAAGCCCCTGAAATTGAATTTTAAAAACGTCAGAATTGAGCACATTGACTTTGTCACCTACTCTTGTTCTTTCCACTCAACCAAAGCCCATAGCTCCAGTCCTTAATATTTAGGAGTTAGGTCTACCCTCGTACTTACATCTTAAAGGTATACATTTTTTATAATGAAGTTCTGTTTATTGTTCCTTGACCAAAATATTTTAACAAGGTGGGTGTTTGTGTTCATCAAACACTAATACACGAGTTTGCTCTTGTCTTTAGTGTCAGGAGTTCAAATTAAAGGTCTGTTCATGATGTCCACTCTACTGTAAATGAGCACAGTCGGTCTCCAAACATCTGGCAAAGACTCCAGACACGAGTAAGACAAAAGCATGGCACCTGCCTTAGAGCAGCCTTTTCCTGGAATTTCATTCTGTATTTTATATGGACAAGTGGGAAGAAAGAAAATACATGCTAATTAAAACATGCCTTGTTGTTAAATACTATAGTACATCTTTATTACCTGACATTTCTTCATTCTCCTTTTTGTAGAATGTCTAAAACACTTCTGAATTGCTTTCATATTTTGTGTCATTTAACTGAGACTTTCCTTTTCTGCTCAACACAAGGGAGGAATTTTGTCCTTAAGGAAAAATTCAGTTCTCAAATACAAAGAAGAATCCTTTATTCTTTTACTTTTGATACACTTGTGGTTATCAGTCCAACTGTCTGTGGGAATGTCCAAAGAATGCACGATAGTGAATGAGTAGCAAAATAATTTTATCTCATAACTTCTTTTAGCCAGATTTGGCTAACAGGCAAATCCAGCTGCAAATGTGCAGACATGTTGGGAAGGACATGAAGAGCAGTTAGTGTGTTCATGTATTTTCTGGGCCACTGTCATGAAGGAAATTGGTCTAAGAATCCTACCTACTGTCTGGGTCTGCTTTGATGGATTCTGTTCTTTTTTTTTTTTTTTTTAATCTGAATTACTGCTACAATTTAGAAACTGCAGTAGCACTGCAGTAGCATTTCACATTCAGTTCTTTTAGTAATATTATTTTTTTATTCTACATTTTAACATTTATGTAAGAGTTGTAATATTTCAAAATTAAAAGCGGGGAAAATACATGTTTTGTACCTATATGACCTATATCTGGGGTCAGTATCTCTTTTCCTAAGAACCAAACTGAAAAGTACTTTTTAGACTCCTTAAATATTTAGGGGCCCATAGATATTTAGGATCGTAATGTACCTACTTAGGGTAGCTCAGTGTAGAAAACATGCTTAGCATATATGTGACCGGGGTTTGATCCCAGTACTCCCAAGACAAATGCAAACAATGAATGCCATGCATCTATTTCAACGTGTAAAATCATTCTTAGCTGTGGGGCCATCCAACAACAGTTGGTGGCCATATCTCAGCCACCCCTCCTTTTATCCTTACAGATCTCATGGCTGGAAGTTATGGCATGATGGGTGATGACGGTTCTATTGATTACACCGTCCACGAAGCCTGGAATGAAGCCACCAATGTGTACTTGATAGTGATCCTTGTTAGCTTTGCTCTCTTCATGTATGCCAAGAGGTAAATAAGGGCAGATAAGGTACCGAGCATTTATGAGGTTTAAAGGGTTATAATGTGGTTGGTGGTTGTTGCTGTTGTTTTAGCTGGAATAAATGTATAAATATAATTCTTTTTTTAAATTTTTTGAGACAGGGTTTCTTTGTGTAGCTTTGTAGACCAGGCTGGCTTCTAACTCCCAGAGTTCTGCCTGTCTCTGCTGGGATTAAAGGTGTGCACCACCACTACCCAGCTCATAAATATATTTCTTAAGAAACTGTGCACTCGGAAGGTGGATCTCTGTGAGTCTGAGGCCAGCTTGGTCTACACAATGAGTTTTAGGAGAGTCAGAACTGTCACAGAGAAACCCTGTCTCGAAAAACAACTCTCTCCCTCTTCCCCCACCAAAAAAAAGGAAAGGAAGAAATCATGTTCCTGGCCTGAAAGGTGCTGTCTATGCAGACAGTGACTGAGATTCGATCTGGAAATCCCATATTCAGTTCTGAGTAACAGGCCCCGATGCTCTAATGTTTGGTTGCTGTCATTTCTAAAGTAGTCCAACTTTATCACCAGCGTTATACATTGTTCTCTTGCAATAAGCACACTTTAAAGTATTTTGGGTCCAGGTGTATGAAATACAAAAACACCTGAGGCCTATGCAGTCAGCAAAGCTCTGTCCACCCGTGTTGCTGTGATAGACTAAGACCAAAAGCAACTTGCAGAGCAGAGCTTGTTTCAGCTCACAGGCCACAGTCCTTCTTGAGAGAAGCAAGCACAGGGACTCATGGTAGGAACCCAGAGGCAGAAACTGAAACAGAGACCATGGAGGAGCATCGCTATGGCTCGTTCTCCATGCTTTGCCCAGTTTGTTTTCTTATGCATCCTGAGACCACCCGCCCTCAGTTAGTATTCAGGCATCTGTCTGGCCTGTCCTTGGGGCTCTGATAGGATACTCCCTAAGCTGCAGCCACTGAGAGCACCACCTGTGCACTTTCACTGTGTTCCCCTTTAAAAGGGCTCTGCCCACCTCCCATCCCCCGCTCTCTCTTTATTTCCCTCCCTCTCCCTGTCCCTCTCTCTCTCTTCCCCTCTCTCCTTCCCTCCCTCTCATCTTCTCTCTCTCCCTCCCTCTCTATCTGTACTCTCCCCTGCTACTCCTGTCCTCAGAGACCCAACTCCCACCTCCCCTTTTCCTTTTTACAATTCTTTTTCCTTAATAATAAAAACAAACAAACAAAAACAAAACAATAAAAAACCTCTGCTTGAACTCTGTGGCATGGTGTCTTTTTCTTTTGAGCCTCTTTTTTAAAATTGCAACACCTGCAGTGAACGGAGCCCTCCCACAAGAGTTACGAATGGAGAAAATGCCCCACAGACTTACCTATAGGCCATTCTTCAAACAAGGTTCCATCCTCCCAGGTGACTCCAGCTAGATCAAGCTGGCAAGAAATCAGCACAGTACGTCTCTGTTCTTTATTAAAAAAAAAAAAAAAAAAAAAAGTCAATTCCTGAAGAACAAGGAACTTGTCTTTTATCTTTGTGTCACTAATATGTCACATGGTCCAAATTCTTAATAGTCACATTTCTTCCTTAATTTCCAGTGTAGCTTAATTTAAATGCCTAAAAAAAAAAAAAAGAAAGAAAGAAAGAAAGGAAAAAAAAACCCTTCCTGATAACTTTCACCCAAATCCAGCAAAAAAAAAAAAAAAAAAAACGGTAATAGAATTAAGGATGATGGTGGTGGTGATGATGATTATGGCTAGAGTGTATTTTAAAGAGGAAAAGCAGTATTCTGCAGTATTCTGTTTGTGGGAATATGCTTAAGTACATTCTCTATTGAGGTTTTAAAAGGTCATTAAGTGCTTTATAGTTAATTAATAGTCCAGAAATAACTTCTGTTTGGACTTGGATACACCTCACATACTTATATTTGTCCTTGTGTGCTATGTGGCTGGACTGCTGGGTATGGGTGTAAGAAGGTGCCACATGTCATCACTGATCCACTTGCATGTGACAACTTCTCTCTAAAAGGGCTGCCGCCTCCTTCCCACTTTCCTTTTAAAAGCAGAGATGCACTGCTCTTGTTTCTAAAAAGATATCCCACAGGAACTATGTCATTAAAGAACATTTTTATTCATGAATTTCCCAAACGAAGGTCTGCTTACATCGGTATATCCCCCACTCCAGTGATTTGTCTTTAGTTGGATATTGTGAAAGAGGAAAAATGACTTGCTTTCTTATTTATGTACTGTTGTTTTTAATATGCCATTTTTCCTAGAGTTAAGGGAATAGCAATGAAAGAGCCTTATCTTGACATATTGTTTGGTAATATAGTATTATGTATATTATGTGTTGAGCTTTTTTCCCCTTGTGATGCCATATAAGCTACATAGAGAGCTTATATGTTAATGAAAAAATATAGTACTTTACAAAAAGAATTTATGTCATACTTTGAATGGAGTGTGAGACAATTACATAAGTTTTGAAACGAATCTGCATTGGTTTTATGTTTTAGGAATAAAAGGAAAATTATGAGAATATTTAGCGTGCCACCTTCAGAAGAAACCTTGTCAGAGCCCAATTTTTATGACACAATGAGCAAAATTCGCTTAAGACAACAGTTGGAAATGCATTCCATTTGTAAGTATGTTCTTTGCAGAGCTGTATACATAACATGTTTAAAATAGATCTTCTATTGAGCTCAGTTATCAAAAGGTTACAAAACTTAAACCTTTTTCAGATGCAAAAAGGCAGATTTATCCCAAAGTTATTGCTGTTAGGTCTTTGGCCTTTCTGTTACCTGAGGCCTTCTATGACCTTGAGAGATGATCATATTCTTAGTAAGTTTTTCAGGTATTGAGATCACAATCACCATTTGATCCCTGCATTTCTTCTTCTTCCAATCTCTCCTTCTGTGTACTTCTCACTGAAATACATTGGGATGACCCTGAAATAGTAAAACAACACAGTTCCCAAGTAGTGTAAGAATGGCCTTCAGGACTTGCAAAATCAAGGTATAAGGCCACAAGTTATATTTGAACATCACTAATACATTCTATGGGACCAGTCACTGCAAGCATGGACACAGGAAAGAAGAAACAAAGTTTAAAATGTGTAGGTCCAGAACCAATTGTACATTGAAGCCTTTTGTGTCATTATTTAAAATATTAAGGTGTGGCTTCCATGGTATATTAAGTTGGATAAGCAAGACAGATGGTACTTATATTAGAATGCCAGGTTCATCTCAACTGTCAAGTTGATGGAATTTAGAACCACAAGGGAAACAAAGCTCTGGTGGGTCTTGGGGGCCGGGGATCCTAGAGTAGGTTCCTTGAGACAGGAAAATTTACTCTAAATGTGGCATGGCATCATAGCACCAGCCAGAGTCAAGGACAGTTAAAAAGGAGAAAGCTGGCTGGGTAGGAGCATCCATCTCTCTGTTTCAGACTGAGGATGCAGTGTGCCTGGATGCTTGCTGGTATTACTACCATATCCTCCCTGCCGGGATGGACTGTATCCTAAAACCATAAGCCAAAACATATCCTGCTTTTCATAAAGGACTTGTGTTAGGTACTTGCCATCAAGAAAGTAACACATTGTTGCAAAATCAAGCAAACAAAGCACTCCTTTTATTATCTGTCTATAAAGTAAGTTCTTACATAGGTGTGTAATGTAAGTACTCCATACGGTGAGACAGCATCCAGATGTGGGCCAGTTTATTGAGCTCATATGTTTGCTGCTGGCTGTTTGGAGTTTAAAGCAGAGAAGGGGGACAAAGGGACAGTTCCTTTTTTTTTTTTGTTTGTTTGTTTGTTTGTTTTCCTTTGAGATGGTATGTGTGTGGTTTTTACTCTGTTCTTTTTCATTTTAGCTTTTAAAAAATTACTTGAGAATTGTATTCATACTACATCTATAATGAACTGTGATCATATGAAAAACAGTAGCCCTCACTTCATTCTAAGCATGCTGGAGTCTCAAAGGAGTAAATGTGAGATTTGTTTTTGGTATTACAGATGCAGGGTATTAGGTCAAACAAAAGGCAGAATGTAGCTGGCACGCTGATTGGGCACGCTGATTGGGCTGATTTTTATGTCTCCAATTTCATTTTTCTGTCTGCTTTGGTCTTTATTAGGTGAATTCTTTAGGGATGTACAATCTTTTTAATGTCTAGTATTTCCCCCTCACCATATTTCCCATCCTGTTTGTTCAGGGTGTAGAGCAGCATCTACTTACTACTGGGGCTCAGGGTTCCCCGTCTTTTGATACATGGACTCAGTTTTGTAAGCGCCGGATATTTCAGCTCTTGTATGACTCTGGGGCTCCTAGACAAGCAGGCACCAGCTGCTAGATGGGGAGATGGGCCTTGGGCCTCTGCTTATCTGTTGTTCCCTGATGAGCTTTAAATGCTCCTACTGCTGAAAATGGACCATAATGATATACTTCCTAAATTCTAGTCTCCCTTTCATTTAAAGCTATCGGTCTTATTTTTAGATGTATTTTAACTTTTTTAATTGATCTAACATTTTTTTACTCTATCATAGAACTGATGGTCTGTCTGGTCTATATCTAAAAGCATTAGATTATGTGACTGTGTTTTGGGCATTTGCTTGTTAATTTTGTTTTAATGGGTTTTTGTTAAATCTGTTTTAGTGGGAATAATGTATCATTCTACTATAGTTAGTATCGTTGCTGCAATTACAAAGGGAAGTTGGGAATGAAGCCATCACCCCTCTCTATTGTTTAAAACCTTCTTTTAAACAGTCTGTAAGTGGGTCATCAATTTCTGACTTTTTGTTGATTCCTTGGCAAGGGTCTTTGGTTCAGTTGCTGCCTCCAGGTTCCTGCCTTGACTTCTCTCCATGATAGACTATAATCTATAAGCTGAACTACACCCTTTCTTTCCCAAGTTGCTTTTGGTCATGGTGTTTATCACAGCAAGAGAAGACACACACACACACACACACACACGCGCACGCACACGCACACACACACACACACACTCACCACTGCCTGCTGCTGCACTCAGGTCTTCATTTCGTAGGATATGAGGACATGAGGAGGTTGTAAACATGACAGACTATCCGGATCTTTCTTGTCACTTTTTTAGGGGAACATAGGAGTTAAGTCTCAGCCTCACTTCTGTTAAAAGTCCTCTTAGGTCTTGTTTGAAGTATTGGAGAGAGACTGAGGTTTGGCTGAGTAGGACACCCAAAGATGGGGCAGGATGCATCTCCTACACACAGAGACCAAGGGCTTCTCTTTCCAAATATAGCAATCCTGGAACATATCCATCTCCCAGATTATGAGAAACAGTCACCCTCACTTCATAATAAGAACAGTGGAGTCTCAGGATAGCAAAAGAAAGACGGATCTATTTTCAGTTGTGCAAAAACTATATAAAAGTTAGCCTATATAAAAGGAAAAATATGGCTGTTGCTCCTATTTGGCACAAAACAGTGCTTTTATATCCCTATCCCTAGTTGTGGCTTTGCCCCTTTTAATTCTCATGGATTGCGTTCTTTAGAGAGATGCAATCTTCCCAGTGCCTCAGCATTACTCCCTACCCCAATACCCCATCCTTTTGCTTCTAGACCCAGCTGTGTCTAGTGAATATCTTGGGGCATTTTTAGTCCCCTCCCCATTTTGTATATGGACTCAGTAAAATAGCAGACTGCCTATAACTTTTCACCCCAGACACGCAGGTGCCAGCTGCCAGCAAGGAAAGGCAGATGCTGGAGCCTCCTGCTTCTCCGGGATTTCTGGCAAGATCTGAACTCACCTCACCCTGAAAGTGGACCATAAGTAACTTCTTACAAAATTTTCCTCCCGTTCCCCTCAACTCCCACAGATCTCCCTCAACACTCACCCTACAACCTCAAGTTCTCTTCTAGAAACAAAACAAAACCCGAAGTTCAGTCCCTGCTGGCCACAGAACATGGGTATAGGGCTATCCACCAGAGCACAGGAACCCTTTCAATGGCCACACCCTCAAGAACAATGATTCTCCCTCCCTCAACAGCTCTTCAGTGAAGGGTGGGGCCTTGAGAGCTCCTCCCCCAGGGATGCTCATGTTTTAATTGGCTTGGTCATGTACACCTCTTAGGCAGGTACCATAGCCATATTATTTCCAGAAGACAGTATTGCACAGTACTTTTCCCTACCCTCTGTCTCTTATAGTCTTTCTGTCTTCTCTTCTGCCATGTTCTCTGAGCCTTGGCAGTGATGGGGAGTGTGTTATTCAATAAAGACGTCCCATTTATGGGCCAGAGAGACAACTCAGTGGTTACAATCACTGGCTGCTCTTTCCAGGGTTTGATCCCCAGTATCTGCATTGTAGGCTGGCCTCGAAGTCAGAGATCTGCGCCTCCCTACCCCCACCAGTGCCGGCTCCATTTCCTTTTTTTTTTTTTTTTGCCTTCTGCACTGCACACAAGTGCACACACAGACACACACACACACACAAACACACACACACACACACACACACACGGATAAAATGCCTGTACATATTAAATAAATAAATAAAATTTCAAGATGTCCTGTTTAAGCACTAGTTACTCACTCTTAGTACTATGAGCAGCTATGAGCAACTTCACTGACTGCTGCCGGCTGCCAAATGAAGAGTCTATAAGCAAGCTTGAGGGCATCCCATTCAAGCTGCAGAACACAGAGAAGTAAATCTCAAACTGACTGGAAAACTTCCTCCCTACCAGCTAGCTTTCATAGTGCTTAAAGATAGTAGGCGTGCTGCTGGGCATACAAGACATCAATGGGCTTACCCCATGTTGGATCCTGCATAGTACAATACTGACCTGCCAGACAAGATACATCCATTGGTGCAATTGTGGCACATTTACAACATTCCATTGTGTAAATTTACCACATTTTCACTATGAATCTGTTGATGGTCATGTGGGTTGGTTTTGTTTCATAACTACTGTGAATAGAATGGCAGTGAACATGGATGGGCAAGTGTGTCTGTAGTAGGCTATGGATTCCTTTGGGTTCATGCCCAGGAGTGCTATAGCTGGGTCATATGACAGTCCCAATTCATCTTCTGTAGACTTTCAAGTTAAATATAGTAAAAACGAAAAGGTGGCCATATCAAATTGCTGAAAATGAGTCCCAAGTGGGACATCTCTATCAACCTCCTCCCACAAGGCTCGGCAACCATCAAGGAAGGAAGAGGGGTGGAAAGATGGTAGGAGCCAGAGGTTAAGGAAGAACTGCAGAAATAATGTTTCCCACACGTGACAGGGTATTGCACACACCAACTCACGGTGACTGTAGTTGCCTGCACAAGATCAAGTCGATGAAATTTCCAGGACAGATAGGTGAAGGTGCAGGAAATCCCACTTCTGACAGAGGAGATACTGACAGTTATTGGTTGCTAAAGTAGAGTCAGGGTCTTGCAGGGACAGGGCCCTGAAGATTGTGTGTGGTTCCGTGCCATGCATATCCTGAAAGCACCAGTTGAATTTCATGGTTTAAAAAAAAAAACATGAGGACATGAAGTTGGAAAGGAAAGTACAGTGATGGAGGAGTCTTGGAGAAGCTGGAGTGGAGGAGCAAAGTTATGACCGAAATACATTGTATACATGTATATGCATGTATGAAATTCTCAAAATTTAAATAAAATATTTTTAAAAAGTAGTGATATAGAGTAAGGAAGAAGGAAATTTAAAACTTTACTAGGTTCCTCAATTTTCCTCTGTATTTTAAAATTCAGAATGATTCTGATATTTAAATACTTATGAAGATATCTGAAAATAGTGTCAAAATTAGAAGATCTTAGAATATAAATAACTTCCTCTAGAGGAAAAACAGTTGTTTAATTCTAAACTAATTTCTTACCAAGCATCTTAATTTAGTTGTGATTTAATGACATTAGCTAGTAATTATTTTATGTTTTATCTTTCTTGTCATTGTTTTTTCATAGCAAGAAAGTATGAGTACCAACAGCCGCAGAGCCAAGCTGACAGCGTGCAGCTCTCGTTGGAATGAAACTTTAAACTCAGCACCGGAAGCAACAGTGGAGCAGAATGTCAGCAAGCTCCCAATCCCTCACCTCAATCATGACTGGCATTTAGTAAACTTGTCAGATCAAGTCATCCCACCCAGCCCCCACCCCACCCAACCCGCCTCAGCTTTCTTTCAATGCTTCCTCTAGGGCTGCATAGGTACAAAAACACTTAGAAGGAAGATGCTGTGTGACTAGAGATGAGGGCTTCCCTTTTCAGGGTCTTCGATGTCTTAAGATAAAACAAAAAATACAAACATGCCTTTGGAAGCAAGAATCCTGGAGTTAGTGCCACTATGATTAGAATATTTTTGCAGAGTCAAAATATGAAGTTCTAGCTATTGACGTGGTTTGCTGTTAGGTTGTGGTCTGTGTGTTGTTTTCACTATTGTTACTGTCTCTGAGTTGGTGACCTTTGCTTCACAGCTTGTATGACACACCACTGAATTGGAACTCTCTTCTCTGTCATGAAGCATAGCCCATCTGCTAGTTGTGGGTGCGTTCTGTAACTGGGTTTGCCTCGCTTTGATTGTATTCCCAAAAACTTGTTATTTTGTTTCTGGAGCACTCCATAGGGCTCCTTGAGGCCATGCTGTTAGACAAAGAGACATTCTCTGTCTTGCTGTTGGCAACTTACTTCCCCATGTTTCTCTGTCACTGTTGAATGTTACTATCTGGTGTCTTCTGCCTTTTAAAGCTTTGTTGAAGACCCACCTGTCTGGTGTCATTCTGTTCTAGGCAGTGGAATGGGTTTTAGCCTAACTTTTCATGTCTAGTCACGTAAAAGCTGGTTGGAGGTAATGGTAGAAGCAAGGCAGAACTCAAACTGAAAGCTACAGTCCTGCTGCCTTGAATGCAGAGAAACCGGAACACAGACAGATAGCACAGAAGGAAGTGAAGCACACAAGGAGACAGGTCACAACCTGCTTGTAAATTACTGAGTTAATGGGTGATCCCTGAACTGAGTCTATAAGGCAGACTACCTGGAGCTCAGTAGAGAGCAAACAGCTAAAAGACAAGAACTACCTGAGCAGCCTTCAGCAGTGTCCCACCACACACATTACAGCATGGTTCCTGCCAAGTGGATTGCCTGATAGGACAAAAATCAATACATCAGCAGAAATTAATAGAGCCAAGGGACTCTACACCACATTGTGCTTCATGTCCAGTATAAAACAAGAGGCAAGAATGGGGAGAACAGGACATGAGACCCAGAGCCAAGAGGAAAAGTGGCCACGATCAGAAGAAAAAGTGACTCGTACAAATGGGATTTCAGAACGTCTCATATGTTAAATCAACAGACGAGGACTTGAAAGCAGCTATGGTCCCTTGCCTTGCATCCTCAGCCCCTGGTGGTGTGACTTCAGGGGTTCTCAACAAATTAGATCAGCCCCTAACCCTAAACATCAAGTGAAGGAAAAATGAATGGCAGGAAAGGAATTTAAGAAATATAGTGGTATTAGAATTAAAGGAAATTCAGTCATCCCATCTGATCTTCAGAGGTGCTAGCATGAACTTCAGGTTTAGATAAAGGAAGATTTGGGACAGGAGCAGTCTCAACCATGCACACACACACACACACACACACACACACACACACACACGTATATATACTATATGTGCTTCCACACATACACACACCCAAGCACATGATGAGAAAAACAGTTTTTTCTAAAACAAAAATATCTGAGTTATAGAAAAAAGACCTTGAGGGACCCAGAGGTCCATAGGTACATGGAAAATTCAGGAACATTAGTTCAGACCAGAAATAGGCTTGGGTTTAAACATCAGCCATCTCTTACCAGGTGTGCTTTGTACTTCATGGTTCACCTTGAAAAATTATACCAAGTATTAACTGCTCAGGGAGGGTGACAGGATGCAGTATCAACTGTTGTTTTTATACTTTAAGTTATGCCAAAAACAAACTACTACTTAGGAGAGAAATGTTTGTGTGGCAGTAAAGAACAGAAGCTCTTTACTTTCAATAACATAGAGCCGTAGAAGCATGTTTACAAATTGCAGCAAGCACTCCTCCCAACCATCTAAGCCTTCTTTCTAGCCTGTCTCCATTCCTTCTTGTCAGCCATGAATTCCAGGAACGCTCTCACCAGCGACTCCCAGTGGCAGACTGGGCAGGTACTCAGGTGCCATTCAGTATCCTTTAGGTCCTCCATCATGAGCCCTCCAGTCTCTCAGTCTTGTAAGCAGCCTGCTTGGTGAAGCTCCCCCTCCCCTGCTCCATTCACTGGGGAATCTTGATGCAGATTCAGGGCATCCCTATCCTTTCATGGCCATCTACCTAGATTCACCTTTGTCCTACTAAAGCCTGCTTGCAGGGGTCTGCCCTCCCACCACACTTCACTGCCTTGGGACTGTAATTCTTGGTGCAAACACAACCCCTCTAATGTGTTCCCACAGCCCCTCTCAGCCTTTCCTCCGTACCCATCTCCATTTCTTTCTGCCACCTACCAACCTGCAGAAGCTCTCTACCAAGGACCCCCTCAGTCACCACACTTGCCCGGGATCCAGAGAGGGCAACAGAAACCAAAGACCAGAACAGCTACCCAGCAAAGAAAATCAGATAGCAACGCCAAGAAACACCTCAACTATCATAACTTCAGATGCTTTGTCTCTGCAAAAACAAACATGAACAGCCAAGACAGTTCAGTCCCCTCAGAACCCAGTAATCTTATTACAGTAAGGGTTTCAAAAAAAACAATTATGAATAAGGTCAAGGACCTTAAAGAGGACAAGAATAATCCCTCAATGCAGACTATGACAACACAAAGAAGCAGTTGAATGAAATAATGGAAACAATTTAAGGCATGAGAGTAGAAATAGAACCAATGTCTTAGGGTTTCTACTAGTCTGTGATGAAACAACCATGACCAAAGCAGCTTGGGGAGGAAACAGTTTATTTGGCTTATATAGCACAGTCTGTTGAGGGAAGCCAAGTTAGGAACTCAAGCAGGGCAGAAACCTGGAGGCAGGAGCTGAAGCAGAGGCCATGGAGGGTGCTGTTTACTGGCTTGCTCCTCATGGCTTGCTCAGTCTGCTTTCTTATAGAACCCAGGACCACCAGCCCAGGGATGGCACCACCCACAGAGGGCTGGGAACTAATTAAGAAATCAGGCCAAAGTTATGGAGACATTTTCTCAACTGAGGCTCCCTCCTTCCCAATAACTCTGACTGTCAAGTTGTCAAGTTGACATAAAACTAGCCAGCACAATCGCTTAAAAAAAACTGACATAAAACTGGACATGAAAAACTTAGAATGTCAAAGAAAAACAGGTATGAACAGATTACAAAGCATGGAAGAGGGAATCAGTTATTGAAGAACTGATTAGCTTGGTCAAAGAGAATGTTAAATCTAAAATAATCCAGACACAAAACATATAGGAAATCTGGGACACTATGAAAAGACCAAATCCACAGATAATAGAAGTTAAGGATGGAGGGGGGGAAAAAAGCCAGGTCAAAGGCACAGATTATATTTTCAACAAAATCAAGAAAAATTTCCAACCCAAAAAGGTGCTATGAAGGAACAAGAAGTATAAAGATACACAGGACCAGAAGAGAAGTTTCCTATAGCACATAATTGAAACAATGTACAGAACAAGGAAAGAATACTAAAAGCTGTGATGAAAAAGGCCAGGTAACATATAAGGGTAGGCCCATTAGGATGTCACCTGACTTCTCAATAGAGCCTCTGAAAACCAGAAGGGTTTGGCCCAATACTCTCCAAACTGAAAGACCATAGATGCCAGAAAAACTATCAGTCACAATAGGTGAAGAAAGAAAAACATCCCACAATAAACCAAATTTAAGCAGTAGCTATACCAGTCAAGCTCTACAGAAGGCAAACTTCAGCCTGAAGAGGTTAACCACACCCAAAAAAAGAAAACCTCAGATTAATAAATCATAAGGGAGAGACCCACACCATAACACAAGAATCAATAAACACTGTTTATTGATAATTTTCAACATTAATGATCTCAATTTCCTCAGTACCAAGACAGACTAGCATATTGGATTAGAAAGCAGGTTCTGTGTTTCTGCTGCATTCATGAAACACATACCAACATCAAGACATTACCTCAGGGCTGAAGAGAAGGCTCAATAGTTAAGAACACTCCAGAGGACCCAGGTTCAATTCCCAGCACCCACATGGCAGCTTACAAGTGTCTATAACTACAGTTCCAGGGGATCTATCTGACACTGTCATACCAATGCACATAAAATAAAGTTAAATAAATTGCTTTTTTAAAAAAAAAAAAAATAGCCATCACCTCATTGCAAAAGGGTAGAAAAGGGTACTCTAAGCAAATAGACTGGTCTTACTCACTTTTCTATTACTGTGAAGAGACACCATGGCCATGGCAATTTATGAAACAAAGTTAATTAGGACCTAGCTGACATCCCAGTGGGGAGCGTGGCAACAAGGAGGCATGGTGCTGGCACAGTAGCTGAGTGTTTACAGCTGACCCACATCTGGAAGCAGAAAGAGGGAGGGAGGGAGAGAGAGAGAGAGAGAGAGAGAGAGAGCTGGATCATGATTGGGCTTTGAAAGTGCAAAGCCCACCCCCAGTGACACACTTTTTCCAGCAATGTCACACCTCATAATCCTTCCTAAACATCCACCAGCTGCCACCCAAATATTCCATTCTGCTTCAAATACCATGTCCCACTCCCTGCAGTCCATAAGCCTGTAGCCACATCATACTGTCAAGTGCATCTAGTCTAACTTCAAAAGTCCCCATAGTCTTACAATCTCCACACTGTAAGAGTGAAGTCCAAAGGCTTCTCAGACTCAAGGCAACCCCTTACCTATAGCCCTTTGTAAAAACAAAAATTACATACTTCCAACGTACAAGGGCACAGAATAAACATTACCATTCCAAAAGGGAGGAAAGGGTGTGGCTCAACGGAATGTGTGTTTAACATATTCATTTCCCTGAATTCAAACTGCAGCACCCCTCAAAGTGTAGAATAATCTATACCAAGTTGAATGCATGAGACCTTGTCTGTGTAACTATTAAAAGCTGAAATGATGCTTTTGCTATAAGTATGCGTTGAACAAATTAGTTGTGTTTCCTATCATTACTCTTTATATAAAAAATACACAAATCAGTATCTTATAAGGAACAGGCTGGGCCCTCCCCCATCTACAGCTTGATCTAATGGAGGCATTTTCTCAGTCGAGGCTCCCTCTTCTCTGATGACTCTAGTTTGTGTCAAGTTGACATAAAACTAGCAGGGACAGATGCTCTGTTCGATTAGGAGGCAGCGTGACAAAACAGAACAATGGGATTTGAAGTAATGAGACCTACAGCTCAGTTACAACATTGGAAAACATGACCTGTACTATAACAACCATAGCACAGTTTTACTTGGAAAGCAGACCCCTTTTTCAGTGTTCTTGCACTTACTAAATTATAAGCTACTAGAAGAGTGTAAACTGTTACCATAATGATTTAGCTTTTTGTTTGCTTGTTTTGTTTGTTTTTTCAGGGCCAGGAACCAAGCCCAAAGCCTTGAACATACTAGGCAAGAGCCCCTATTACTGAGCTGCAGCTGAACCAGAACTTTTTAGAAAAGCAATTTTAAATGTTATTTTAATTTTATGTATATATGCGTGTGTGTGTGTGTGTGTGTGTGTGTGTGTGTGTGTGTGACGTGCGCGCACACTGTGCATGCATGCACATGCGCTATT